TAATACTAAATGGCATCTTTGATTTTCAGAAGCAGTTATTCATCATTTACCGAGGATCAAATCGGATCATAAACCTTTGTTGATTTCTTTGGGTGATGGCAGGACTTCAAATGGATTTTTTAATTTTCAGTTCCAAGCTGCTTGGTTGACTCATACAGATTTTGGGGATTTTGTCAAATAGTCTTGGGACAATTCTAAAGACATTTAAGGTGTTATAACAGATTTCACTAACAAGGCAAGGTGTTGGAATAAGGAGACATTTTGTAATATTTTCTATAGGAAGAGGAAATTGTTGGCAAGACTGGGTGGTATAAAGAAAGCACTAGAGTCTCGACCTTCAAGTCATTTAAGAGATCTTGAGTTTAACTTGAGAAAAGAGTATGAAAGTGTTCTACTCCAGGAAAAGGCATTTTAGATGCAGAAATCTAAGGCTGATTGGCTTAAGTTAGGGAATCATTACACTAAATATTTCCATTTTTGAGTAGCATGCCAGATGAACAAACCAAAAATTGTGCGACTTTGGGACGTTGAAGGTAGGTGGTGTGATGATCAAAATACTACCAAGAATCTAGCTGTTAATTTTTTTCCAATAGTTGTATGCCAAAAAAAGTGAGTTACTGGCTTTGTATCCAATCAGAGGTAAGTTTCTTGTACTTGCCATGGAAGCTTATGATAATTTAGTCAAGCCGATATGTGGAGAAGAAGTGCATGAGGCTCTGTTTGAAATGAAACCTTTGAAAGCACCTGGTTTAGATGGTCTCCATGCTTTATTCTTCTAATCCCAATGGAACACTATGAGGCAAAGTGTAGTAAGGTATGTGCAAAATGTTTTCAATAGTGGTGATATTAAGGATTCTTAAAATAGGTAGTTGATTGTATTAATTATAAAAATAGCTTCTTCTGAATATATTTCTCAATTTAGACCCATTAGTTTGTTACCTATCATCTTTAAAGTATTAACGAAGGTGATTACTAACAGGTTAAAGTATTAACGAATGGGAATTGGCACCTCAAGAAATTAAATTCCTTTTGTCCAATAAGGATAGCTCGACATGTTGCAAATTCCATTTTGCCCTCTCTGTTTCTTGACTCGAACAAACCATATTAAGGTTCATCGCCTTCAGATATATGTACTGTGGTGTCTGTATATGAGTATCCTAGGCAGACTACCACTACTACAGCTAGTGATTTGAATAATGTACCGTGGGGCCTTGCATAGAGATGGAAAGGATCTCAATGAATTCACAGTTTTTTGATACAATGCTTTCACAACTGTTTAATTACTAATATGGAGAGAAGATGTAGACAAATAGGCTTCTGATGCAATGTGTGCTCAATGTGGATTACGTGACAAGTCAACTATACATGTTTTATGTGATTGTCTTTATGCAAATGCGGCGTGGATGTGGATTCGTCCTTTATATATGCAAGGAAATTTCTATTATCTTCCTTTGGTTGATTGGCTTTATTCTAATTTAAATAGGCACTAGCAAAAAGTTGAAAACATGCCTTGGGCCGTTTTCTTTGGCATAACGATTTGGCAACTTTGGAAGTTGCACAGTACTTCAAGGTTTGAAAGGAGTAAACTTTCAATAGTTGGCAAGTTATCAATAATTAAAAGCTTAGCAGCCACAATTGTTGATGCATGTTCAATTTCTAATTATGCTAGTAAATCCACAACATATCGAGAAAAAGTGTTAATCTCTTGGCTTTAACCGACAGTTGGTTGGGTAGTGGTTTACTCAAATCGGGCACAACGACACAACATGAATTTGGCTTTTGTTGAATGAGTTATTCACAATAATAAAGGTTAATGGCTAGGCAATTATGCAATTAAATTGGATAATTGTACAGCTTATGAAGCTAACTTATGGGGGGTCTTCCATGGACTTCAACAAGCATGGGAATTAGGCTTCTGTCAAGTTTAGTTGTAGGTGGATAATAAAATGGTAGTTCAGGCACTTTCAACTGAGTCTTCTCATCCCTGTGCTAACTTCGACTTAATTAAAGTAGTTCGCGGAATGATTAAGAGACAATGAGAGTTGAAAATATCCCATATTCACAGAGAAAGGAATATAGTTGTTGATTTCATGGCTAGAATGAGTTTAAATTTAATACATGATTTTTTGTTTTATGATTCGCCCCTTGTTGAATCTAGAAGTTTGTTGATGTACGACATGTTAAGAATTTCTTTTCCTAAGATGATCAGATTATAATAAAATATGTGTTTCCACAAAAAAAGAAAAATGAGCAAATAAGCCAAAATGTAATGCTAAAAATTTGACTTTTAATTCTTGAGATATGTTTTTTACTTTTACTTTTTTTTTCCAAAAATAAAAAATTAAATAGTAAAAATAATGACTAATTAACGAAAACTTAACTACTTTATATATATATATATATATATATATAAAGCAATATTAAATAAATCATTCTTTCAGTTAGTATTCTTAATTATGGGTATACAGATCATCATCCATTTCTAGGATTAGGTAGAGGCGGCTCAATGATCTTAAAAGTCTAAAGTTAAATATTCAAATGAGACTTTTTTATTAAAATTAAAAAAAATTATTAAAATTTTATTTTTCTAACTTGTTGTGATGTAAAATTTTTTATTAAACTTTTATATTACAAAATTGAAAAAAATTGGTTTATATAGGAAAAAAATATCTAGTGGAGATTATTAAATATATATTACCATTAAATTGATTGAAAATAAAAGAAATAGTTGAGAAATAAATAGTATTGTGAGAGTTGAAAAGTAATAAAAAATTAAGATTTATTAGGCATATAAATACGGAAGTAAGAAAATATGTCATTTTATTAATTATTTTAATTTTTATATATTTTTAGTGAAAAATGAGATGCATAGTTGAAAATTAATAAGGATGTGGGAGTTGAGTTAAAATAAATATTTGTTAGGCAAGTGAGAGAATATATAGATATTTTATTAATTATTTTTTATATATTTTTAATATAATTAATTATATTATTATAAAATTATAGAACTTATGAAAAATTAAAGCCTAAAACAAAGATTTTGATGACTTGATGGTAAAGCCGACCCTGGGACTAGGATTAGGATTTGCTTCTTTCTTGCCAAATTCAATTATTCCTCAAATTAATAAAGATTTTAGTGTTTCCTTGTAAAAGAAGAAATGGACAACAAAGTTAGTTGAAGCCTACAGGAAATCAAGGATAATCTATAATTATTAAATCGAGATATGTATCATATATCAAAATTTTAGTTTTTAGTATCAAGTATTAAGTGTTGTAATACAGTAAAAAATTTTATAATTAATTATAAATAACATTTATATGTATAAAATAAAAAAATTAAAAAATATTATTTTTTTAATAAAATTGAAGATTATAGGGTGTAAATTGAAAAGATGATTATTTTTTTAATTTGAACTTTCAACATATTCCATAATAATATAAATTTTTAAATAAAATATACAATTTTTATATTAATTTATTAATAAAAAATAAAAAAAATATCTTGTTAAAATTAAAAAGAAATTCAATTTTTTAATATTTTTTGTTTAAAAAATAAAGATAGAAACTCATAAAATATAATTGTTTATGTTTTAACTCAAAAAAATAATAAAAAATAAAATTTTTAATAATCAATTAAAATTAAGTTTATAAAACATATATCGACTATAACATATGATACATTTCCGTATCATAAAATACATATTAAGTATCGTATTATATAATTTTTATATTTAATTAAATATAATATAATTATAAATATATATTATTTTTTAATTATATTGTACGATAATTATTATGATGATTATGAGATAATCTTTTGTCAACCCTCTGATTCGCTCTTATATACTGAACTGGCTAAAACTTATCACTCTCATCCTTCATTAGTGTGGTCGTTGATTTGATGTTGGAAACTGTCAACACCTTCACTGTTATTTTCACCTTTACAGAGCCCACTGTCGCTCGGCCTACCATATCACTCTTTACCACTTACATTACACTTGATGTTCCCAATTAGAATTGTCTAAAGCTCCCATTATCTGTCATCAAATCTATTTTCAACTTAGATTCATTCGGGATATGGAATTTTGGACCTATCTAACTTGTTTAAGTTATTATATTAATAAATTATAAATTTTTATTTAATTTAAATTTAAGATATTTTCAAAATAGAAATACTGATATAAAATAATAATTTTGTTATTTTTTAATAATAAAATAATAATTAAATTAATAATTTTAATAAGATTTGAGTTTATCTTTTAAAAAAAGAAAACCTGATAAGCCTAACATGATCTTAGCTTGACCTAATCTATAATACCTCTAATTGTAGCTCCCTCTCGCAGTTCCCTATAACGAACATGACCTTTTCTTAGATAAAACAAAATTAATAAACATTGGCTATGGTTTTGAGACTGAATATAAAGGACAGTAAGGTAGGGTATCGTTTTTAAAACTTGAAAGATTATAATGAAAAAGATAAATAAAAGAAACAAACTATATACCAATTTAATAATTTTCTTTCTTTCTTTTTTTTGAATAAAATAATTTTCTTATTTGTAAGTTATGTAGAAATGTTGGTAGGTAAGTAAACTCACTTTTGGAATTTTAAAACACCACGAATAGGTTATAGGATAATAACCCGTACTTAAATCTCACCTATTTTCTCACACTCTACCTTCACTTTGTAAAGTAAAAAAAAATAATAAATAGGAACTTACAATCAAATAAAGTTTAATAAATCACTTTACACATGTAAAATCATTCATGACCCATATGTAATTAGTAATATAATTATGATACTTAATAGTACCTAAAATGTGGTTTAGAGACTTGGGTTGGAATTGGGCTCTTGATGGATGAATGCTATAATTAAATTTCAATAAAATGCAAGCCCAAGCTGAATCCAAACAAAAATCCAAGTCCAGCCCAGCTCAATCAACTAATTTTGATTTTTTTTTATTGTTATTCTATTTGAATACATTTTAGCAGTGTGAAAATCAACGGAAACTTTCTTTACGAAGGTTCTCTAATTTTGCGCCATTAACAGTTATACTGTATTCTTTCTATAAAATTAGCAAAAAAAAAAAAGAGCTTTGCTTCGAAAGTCAGTAAAACTCTCAGGAGAGGAATCGAAAATGTGTTGATCGATCATGAATTCTGGGTTTTCTCATCAACTTTGATTTGTAAGTTTTCATATTTTTCCTTTTTTTTCTTTTCAAAATTTGTGTTTTGTCAATTCTTCGCCTATTTTCGTTGACGATAGTAAAATTAGGTTTCTGTTTTGGTTGTTAAGAAAATTCACTGCTCATTACTCAGAAGTTCCATTCGTTTGAAATGCTATTTGCGGTTTCTTATTTATGTTAAATTTCACTTCAGTTTAAGCTAAAGCGAATGAGAAAGGGATAGGAGTTTTCTTTTGCTTTGGGTTTTCCTTAATTTCCTCAGAAACCAAGCAGAAAGTTAGGGTTAGGGCTTTTGAGCTGTAATTAACTGTTAAGAACTTTTGAAGTTAGTTTTAGGTATTAGGGTTTAGTTGATATGAAATTGCTGCATATGCTTTATGAATATTCATCTCAATTTCGGGTTTCTTTTACTGTAATAAGTTTGTTTAATCACGTATCACATGATTATTAACTTAAAAATTAAGGGGATTTAGGTAGGGGAAACTATAAATAGTTGAACTTTGGGCATTCTCACTCTCCCTTACCTAATTGAAGGAGTGTTTTTGGTTATGGTTTTAATTGAATGTTGAATGTCCTTTTTTTTTTTTCATTTTAATTTTAATTACAGGTTTCAGAAGAGAGTCACATTACGATGTCAAGACCCATGTTACTTGTTTTCCTATTGCTTATACTCATAATCACCTCCCAGTTTGAATGGAGACAACAACTTGTTGTTGATATTGACATGACCCCTAGCATAACACAGAAGCAGCAACAAATTTCGAGGAGGGAAGAAGCCGTGAAAGAAAAGGTAACTAGTTATTTTCAACTTCTAAGTAAAATTTCAGCTTTGTCTGTTATTGGTATAAAACATTTCAATGATGACATGAGTTGCATTGAAATATACATGTTTCATACCGTGTACCATATGTATAGTCTATTAAATATCCTGAAGTGCAAATCCTTCTTGCTTTCTGCTTTTCTTTTCCTAATCAGCCTGCAAATGTTGGCTTATTCTAGTGTAGGAATTCGGTTCATGTAAAATACAAAGTTTGTATGTCCTTATATAGCAATTACTTATCTGTAATTTATTTCCCCCCTGTTTTTTTTTTGAGTTCATCTTTATATTAAAAATTTATGTTTTTGCAAAACGTAGTGTAGTTTCAGTAGACATGACATTGACTTTTCCATCTCTAGCAATATTTGTTTTATTGATGATTTCAGGCATTGTACAAGATCATATGATGTCCATCGTAACCTTGGTGTTTACTTCTATTCCATGTAAAAGTGCTTTTGCAGCTATTATAGCGAATAAGTTCTTTGCAATGAAGCTTTTGGACATGTTAGAAAGAGTTAACCAATGGCCTTCATTTATTATTCATTTTATTGATACTTCATATTGACCTGCCAATGCTTATGTCTTTTCCTCAAGAAAATCCAATGTTATTACTGATTAACCTAAGAGGATTACTCATTTCTTAGGCCCTATCTAGTAAAACCAAAAAGGTCGTGGAAAGCTTCAATATATTCAATTTGACAGAAATTTATGCCTAGTGAACTTGCTCTGTTTCTGCTAATAATGAAGTTCTTGCTTCAATATATTAATTTCCTTCTTACGCTAATCATGGTGCTCTAATCTCACGTATTCTCTTTATGCTAGAAGGAATTTTGGTATTTCAATCTCTGAAATGCCAAAAAGCAGGAACTACGTAGTCAGAAATATTTGTGTCTGGAAGCAAATTATAATGAGGCTTTATGTTCTTGTCATGATTCATTTTCCACCAGTCATTTAACTTCTTATTAACCTCTAGTGGAAATCTATCACTCATTGCAGATCATCTTATCACAAGAGAAGAACATTCAGAGACTTAATGAAGTTGTGCGGAGTCTTCAGCAGCAACTGTTGCAGTGCAAGGGTAATAACAAGACAACAAATGGCACTGCAAGCCATTTGACTGAACATGTTATTGAGCTTGAGCGACAACAGATCTTGGAGGGCTAGGCTAAGATATTTTTCAAAATATATGTTCTGATTGCAATACGTTGAAGTTGTCAAATCCTTGTTTACTGAAGTGTAAGTTTGAAGTACCATTCATTGTAAGTTATATGGACTTTTTTCCCTCTTGTCCTCTCGATCTCTTTTGAATGGAAGCACGGAAGCAATGCACAATATAAATCATCCACTGTACAATCCGTAGTCATTGTTAAGTAACTGTTGTTAATTGACCCAACTACTTTTACACTAACTAAACCTATGATGATATTGTATTGTCTTAGAATTGTAGTCAGCACCCTTTAGCTGATTGAGAAAGATAAAATCTATAATGAGAATGCATAATGTGAGATAGTTGGCTCAATATGCGCCCATATTAGACATTACAGGTTGTTGCATAAGTTGTAGTTACTGACCTTGAAATCTAAATTTAACAAACACTGTTGGATGTGATTTTTTATGAAGCTAACTTGCTAAGAGAAAATTCCTTGCTCTGGTGTCAACTTGAGCTTCTAATCCATTTGCTCTATTTGCATGCTTGATGATTTCATAATTGACACCAAAATTACATTCATGTATGATTGGAGAATTTGATGGAGAATTTATGTTACTTCGAGGAAAGCTAATGCATCTAATCTAACCCTTCTCCTAGATTTTCTCTCACCCAATGTAACAATCTGAATATAAAATAAGACTACATTACTTCGAATTTGATTTAATGGGTGAGGCCTTTTTTTTTTTTAGAAAAATGTGTCTTTCATCCATGCTTCTGATATTCTGAATTCTTTTCTGTTTGTACTGCATTCAAGGGTATACGCATTCATGTGCTTTTCTGGTCCTGTGGTCATCACAATGTGAGCATAGACTCAGGTTTTGTACTCTGAGATGTATTTTGGTCCTGATACATTGCTACAGTTTACTGTATGTTTAAGGCTTGAAGCAGATTCTATAGGATCAAGCCTATGGGACTTAAGGAATGATGGAAGGGAATAAAATAAAAAAAAAGAAATAAAAAAACGAAGGGGAAAAAATAATAAATAAGTAAATAAAAATGAAGTAGAGGAACTTAGATTCCAAATGAACAAATTCAAACTTGAAAAGGATTTTTCTGATTCTCGAAGAATGAAGGGCAAAGGGATTGATTGAGAAAGATCTCTTGTTCTTATTATAAGATCGTGTGATCGGATCTGTAGATGTTTGGTAAAAAAAATCTTCCCTTTTGAGAATAATCAAAAATGGAAAGTTTCCTTTTGAGAATAATCAAAAATGGAAAGTGTTCAATTGGAACGTAAAAACGTGACTCAATTTGCACAGAACTTTTTACTCAAGTTCCCTGAAGGCTCTTCGACTAAGTAAAATTGGAAGAGACACCTGATTAGTCAATTATTTATGCTGGTCTAGTTACTCAACTTCCTGGGTACAAACTTGTTACTCAGTTCTCTGTAGGCTCTTCGTCTGAGTGAGAATGGGAAGAGAAATATTTATGTTAGGTCTAGTCCGAAACTTATTACTCTGAGGTCTTAGGCTCTTGGCCCGAGCAAACCTGGAAAGAGATATGACCCCTAATCTGTTTTGTCTAGTTCTATACAACTTATGTATCGATCAGGATGAGGTGAATATGCGAGCTCATTACAAGTTAAGTGGTAATGATGATTGGCAGGGATAGGTAGGGCCAACTCCAAGAAATTTATGAAGCAACAACGGCTCAACACATTGTGTGGCACTAAATAAAGTTTGAGCACATGACATTTTGTATACGGTGAAGATAATGTAAGAGACTATGGAAGTCTTTTTGCCTGTCACACCTTAATTTCGCTTTGTAGGAGTTCAATGCATTCTTAGCAAAAGTTCAAATTTGACAGTGGACGTGTACTAGCCTTTCACAGTTAACCCCCAACAAAAGGAGGAATGCAATAATGAAGAAAGCAAGGATCCAATGAACAGGAAAGAGTCCTTTTTAACGCATTGGCATCTGTCAATGTAAGAAAGGTAGGGGATGTAACCTCAAAACTAGTTCCTCTTTGATAAATGTACAGCTAAGCCTGGGCTTGCTTTTACTTGGGGGATGGTCGATCGACTTGGACTGAGCACTTAATCCCAAAAATGGCTTGACATTCAAATTCGTAGTAGAATTCATGAGGTGTCTATGAAACGCCCCGCTCTAGCCTTTTCGGTTTCAGACAACAAAGGCATAAATTTAGATCCGTCAGTAGTTTTGATATTAATATGATTAAAGTTGTGGAAGTCGCAATTTACAAAGTTTTTACTGCATTAGGTAATTACATATTTCTTGCACTACCATTTCTTGTCCACATTAATTTGAACCCATCTCCTGTTTCTACATATATATAAAATTTTTCTGCATCAAGGAATCAGCAACCCATCGTGGTTTATTAAGGCCATCTTCAAGACAAGTCTTCAACCAGTCTGCTACTGAATATCACATACAAGTCTAGAAGATGGCCGAATAAATCACGCTAGCTGTCTACATTTTTATACGCTATAATTTCTCTGCGTGAATCTTAAAAGCCAACTTCATGAAAATTTCAATGTACAAATATCCACTTTTCTTCTACCTCATTTAACGTCAAACCTCCTGCCTAATTACATTAATCAAATGTCATAAATTAATAAAAAAAATATAATTTACCCCAACAAAAGGTAATCTTCTCTCATCACATAAATACCATCTTTCTCTCTCTCTCTCTCTCTCGCTCTCTAAATTTGATGAAAAACTTATTTATTTTTACAGTTTGTAAGCAACCGTTGTGATGGATACAACTACAATAATCATGTTACTGTTCGTGTTAACAGTTTTGCCCATAACTTGAGTTCACTTATCTTAAAGCTTGTGACTTTGTGTTAGCTAAAATTTAATACATTCACATGGATTTTGAAAAGTAGATATATATATATATATATATATATATATATATATATATATATATATATATCAGCCTTTTAGGTGGTTTAATTTGCTTCTCTCCATATTCAAATAGGGAGGCTTTGAACACATAAATGGGTAGACTAACCCGTGGAAAGCTATATATCACGATAGCAACTCTTAACAAATCATCTTCTCTACCACGTAAAATTTATCTACACGTTTTTGTGAAGAAAGAAGAATTGCTTACGAGAATGTCTTCCTCAATGACTGAAAAAAGAAGAAAAGAAAACAAACATTAAATGTTTCTAAGTTATAATCTTGACTTGCACTGTTTACAAAAATCATTGATTTCATTTAATTAAACGTAGGTATAGGGGAACTTTGGCACAAGCTTTGAACGTTTCAAGCTAGTCAATCTTTGTAGCTGCATACGCTTCTGGAAACCAATAACCCCAATATGAAAAATTTTAAAAGCATGTTGATAGAATTTTCAGCGTCCGAATTGATTTTGGTCGAAGTTTATATTAAAATAGTATAGTTAACATGAATGCTACACATGCACGGGAAAAAGAAGAGAAACTTCATTGCTTAAAGGTAAAAGAAATATGAAAGTTGCATAGGTTTAAAAAGAAGCGAAATGCTAACCAGTGTCTAGTGACACAGATTAAAATGACATTAAAAAAAATTATAATTAATATAAAAACTATTTTTTTTTGAATTTGGTAAAAATAATGCATTAAATACAATTTTTTTAAAAAATAATATTTTTACTATTTTTGTAATAAGATCAATTCTTAGATATTTAATTAGATTCCATTCGGTTATGAAAAATCTCCAAAAGAGGAAATCATTACGAAAAAATTAAGAGAAAAGGAAAAGAAGGACAGAAAAATAAAATTCCTTGTTTGGATGACAAGGAAAATATCAAGTACCTTTTTTTTTCTATTCACTCAAATAATAGAAATTAAGGGCTTTACTAAATGAGCAAAATTAAAGCATTAAAATTAATGTTGCTACCAAAATTCAATTTTTTTTATTGCCAATTAACCTATATTTACACTTATCAAACCAATATCACTCTTTTATGGGAAAGCAAGAGAAAATATTTGTGGTACGTTATCCCCCACATTTTGTTTTATTATTTTTTCCATGTCAACCAAACATCAGAAAATTTAATCTGTGGATTTCATTTTCTTGAAGCAAACATAGCTTTAAGGTTCAGCATCTTTTAGAGTGGTTGAAGGGTTCTTCTTAGTACTTGGTATGATGATCAGGTGGTCCAACGTCTGAGTTCAATTAAATTCCTCACGTTAAAATATGTTAAAAAGGTTACCGCGCATACTTGTGTAAAGAACTTTGTTTGTACATGGGCCTGCCACTGATGCAACGCATAAAAAAGGAGCATTTTTAAAAATAATTTTTTTAAAAATAATATTTTTAAAAATAATATTTTTTATAATTTTAACTTTTTTTTAATTAAAATAGATAAAATTGTCTTTAATAAAATTATATGTTATAATGTTACTTGTCGTGGTTAAGTTGTTACATGTTATATATAAAAACATGTTATATGTCATGGGTAGGTTGTTACATGTCATGTATAAAAACATATTATGCGTCATGGTTAAAAAAAATTATTATACGTCACGTTAAAAAAAAAATATTATTATAATATATTATGTACAAAAACATATTACACATTATGTTAGAAAAATGTTGTTATTACACGTTATGTTGAAAAAATATTATTATTACATATCATATTCAAAATTATCCTTCATAATTTTTTTTTTTCTAAAAAGCCTGGTTGCGTTGGGATGGATCGGCGGGGTTTAGTGTGAGAAGCCATCATTGCCCTTCTGTTGAACAGAGTCCTTGCGTTGCCTGTGTTGTCAGTTCTCAATTGCAGCAATGTTACACATATTTTGAGCTTTGCACATGTAGGGCATCCACCCCAAAAGACTGCTGCACGACCATGCAGACAAAGGACCTCTGTGTTCACCCATTTTATGACATGGTAACTTTACTGTTCAAAAAAAATGTATGTCAGAGGTAAAAGGTGCTCTGTTCTCTTTTGCATTTTTATTATTAATCTTTGACGAAAACATTTTGCTTAAGTTTTATGATCTAATGGGTTTGCATTTATGAAGCATGTTAATGAAAAAAATCTATAGTTTACCTAACAATTTAAAGTTGGGATTATATGTAAGGGATCATTTGTTCAATTTGTAACAAAATCCATTTAACTGCTCTCAAGACCTCTACAATCAAAATTTTAGTTTTATTTTCTTTATGT